CAGCTCAGTGAGTTGCCACAATTGGTGGCCTAAGCTTTACAAATGGACGAGCACATATGTGCGCACTTGTGAGACGCGTCAAAGAGTGAAACCCTCACCAAATGCGGCGACGCAAGCCAGTACACCGATACCCTTCGGGTGATGGCAGTTCATGAGGATGGACTTGGTGTTTGGCCAGCCGAAAAATTTTGCGGGCAACACGGGTGTGGTGGTCTTTGTGAACCGTTTGAGCAAGATGATTCATCTTGCGGTAGTGGCGGACGCCATCGACGTTGTGGGTACAGCGACGCTGATTGTCTATCGTGTCTTCCCACAGCATAAATTCCAAGAGTCGATTATCTCTGATAGAGACCCGCGCTTCACGGGGATGTTTTTGGCTACAATCTTCAGGGTGCTGGGCACCAAATTGAATATTTCAACAGCAGACCATCCGCAGACCGATGGTCAAAACATGCGCGTGAATCGCGTCGTTGAAGACGTTCTTCGCAGCGTCTGCGCTGATACGCCGAAGCGCTGGAGCGTAAAGCTGTCCCTAGTAGAGTTTGCTTTGTACAATGCAGTGAATTCATCTACCGGCTACATGCCGTTCTACGAGAACATTCTCGTCATTTATCCTGTTCTGCTGACGCCGCCATCCAATGGCTCAGGGTTTGATGGGGGGGGATAGCCGAACGGCAAGCTGATGTCGGCCTCCTCACTGTCCGTAAATAAGTCAATGACTTCCTGTCTACCATACTGAGTGTCCTAAGACACGTTTGCGATGCGATGGCTGAAAGTCAAGACATGCAGAAAGAACTTGCAGATGGAAGAAGCAAACCAAATGCTGAAAATACCGAGGTCGGAGACCTGGTTTTATGAAATGCTAAACCCTTCTTACACATGCAGTCTCCGCTGTATTCAAGACAAAGCCTCGTGCATGTTTCTTTGGACCTTTTAAGTTCTTGGCCAAGCAAGGCCTTGCGTATACGCTGAACCTTCCGAGAAGGATGCGTACCCACCCAATGTTTCATGAGGGCTTGTTTCAGCCGTCCCGAGATCCGGCGCAAGTGAACGCGGAAGCGTTGGCACCGGGGCGGGACATAAAGGAGCACGTCCACACAGAAGCTGAATAAGCAACTGATTCTGAGCCCGGAGTGCAACAATTTTCGTTTCCAATGGCACAAGGCGCTCCATTTTCGCACGAAGCGACGTATTCGTCTGCTGGATGGCTAGAATCCGATCCAACAGAGCGCGATAGTCCTCAACGTGAGGCAGTCGATGCACAAAGTGCTCCAAGCTCTCTAGGTTTTCCGCAGAGCGGTGGGCAGCCTCCGACAGATGCTCGGCAGAATGCCGATGACGCCGGACTTTGTCTTCTTAAGCTCGATGAGCATCGCGAGTCACCGGACGGTGATCGACCAAGTCGTCATCGTTCGCCGCCGAATCTTCTCAAGGAGAATGGTGGCGTTCACTATCACGTGGAACGCCTTGTGAGTCAACGTCGTCGACAGAATTGAACTCAATATCTTGTGAAGTGGCGTGGATCCGGAACTCGTGGGAGTTTGAGGTGCCGCTTCGGCAAAACTGTCCAGATGTTGTGGACGCTTATGATCAAAGAGATCATGACGCCTCGCGCTTTTCGGCGGTAGCCCGGGACACGAGCTGAGCTCAAGCTATGGCCCTGAGCTGCTGTGGTTGTAGACTCGTCCAGGTGATAAACCACAGAGTTCGCGGAAGCGTGATGGATGATTCTTTGTGTCGCAGGGCGACAATAGGTAGAAAATCGGCGTGGCGTCTTAAGTCTGACAAACTCATATAGGGGTGGCGCTCAACGCGCACGTTCATTTTCTGTGGCTCCACTGTTAGTGAGATAGCGAATAAAGCTCCAGTGCCGCTGCACCCATCGCTCAGAGCTCCTCATCATCTGTAGCGGTTTTGCCAGGGGCGAGCACCACAAGAATAGCTCGCATTGCGGGTACATAGGCGCTTTTTGAGCTTGAAGTCGAGTGCGATACCACATCATTGGGATTTCTTGAGGTACCACGAAGCGAGCTCGGAGAGGTTTCTGCCGGTCAAGCATAACTTGTGTAGTTACCGGGGGCTCCACCACGAAGACGCCTAATGATCGAGCGATCGCATCTTTCGCTTCAGTAGCGGGATCCGCCGAGCGGAAGCCGTATTCCACACGAGGTCCTTTTACCGAACGTGGATACGAGCACACAAGAGTTGCCCTGTGGGCAGCTTTAAGCTGCTACTCGTGTACATCGTTAAGGTGATTGGTAATAATACCACCCCCCCCCGGAAAGCGAGGGATCGAAAAACGGACAGCTGTTCGCAAGGTTCGAGCAATGCTCACGTCGTGCCACTGGCGCATCTCGCATTCCTCGTTATCCCATGCTGGGAAAGGGGTATACGACTCGTAGTCGACTTCCTTCGAAATCTTGACGAGAATATCCGTCGAGCGCGGTGTGTGGTGCCCGGTATTCAAGGGCTTGGGATTTGCTCCGCCGCGGACATACTGTCCGGTGATGCACGCCGTGTAGAAGACGAAGAAGGGCTCTGCACGCGGGTCCTCGGAACCAGCTAGGCTGGTGTTTTTCGTGCTAAAGACATATTGGCAATTGAGCGGAGAATGTTTAAAGACGGTCTCAGAGACGTAACGGTGTCGCAGATACGCGAGCCTCATGTCTTCAAAATGTGAATTGTGCGTATACACAATTTTGATGCGGGGGGGAGTGTCAGGGGGTTACACATACCCAGAGTGTAATGGGGTCACATGTACCTTTGTATGAAAGGGTGAGTCACACAAGATTTTGTGACGGTACAAAGGTGTGGATTACACATGTCAGTGTAAGCACACAATAGTGTGGCTACACCGTAAAAAGAAGCCACTACGTCGCAGGATTGCCAGTAGTAACGCATGTTAATTAGGTTTTACTGTTCAATCCGGAAAACCTTAGGTTTTAGATTTAGGCGGCTCTGCCGCAAATTAAAAAAAAAATACACTTTTAAATTTGAAGGGAAGAGCGTCATTACCTTTGTTAAGGTCTTGTAAGTACTCTTGGAGGTAGAGGATTGAGATCCGCTACACTCGTACTGATTCTGGTACAGAACGTAAGCCGGTGACCTTAGATTAGCCATCCCGCTGCAATTATCACCAGAAGCGTCACTTGCTGCAACCGACTTTGATGGCGAGCACAACAATTATCCTCATAGAAGCAAATTCAGTGGCTCTTTGCAGACTGTGACGTACTCAAGCTGAATCCATTGATGTGCGCCGCTGGTCTTACCAATAAACAGCAATTTCGCCCATAAGCACCGTGTTTCTAGAAGCGCAACTTGGTCTGAGATTGACCTGGTACTCTATCTACTCAAAAGCAAGATTAATCAGACGAAGTTGCCAATTTTGTAACCCGACGGAACAAAAATCAATTGCGTTTCATAAACCAGTCATCAGATACCTTGAACTCTTTTTCGCTATTGTTCTCCCGATCAACAATCGCTTGAACAATGTGGCGAACAGTGTCTCTGGATATGATTAGGAGCGACACCCCTTTTTTTAGGAGTCGTGTAAGCCATGTCAAGCACGTGCTGTAGGGTTTTATTCATTACACTCTAACTCCTCTCTACCCGGCCCGAGGATTGAACCCTGGACCTCCCGGTTCTGAAGTGAACAGCATACCACTGGACACAAGCTCTTTTGCTGTTCTCAGATTCATTATAATATTAGCGACTTCTTTATCAAATTCAGTACAGATCCCTGTGCGCCCACCGCCGCTTAAGTACTTCCTTTTCAGATCGCTAGAAGAAAGATTCAAGAATTCCAGTTCGGCCCGCCGACAGGACCGCACTGTCCTTGGGGGAGCTTAATTGTAGCCCGAAAGAAATGCCGCTGGCGACATCACAAATCCTTTCAATCACTTCCAGCTTCATCGCTTCATGTTTGAAGTGTGTATTGACTAAGTACTGGAAGCATAATCTCAACCAGAGCGCTCTATTTAGGAGAGCTTTCAATTAGGTAGAGCATAGTTCTATATGCCCTGTGAAAGAGGCATTATGACAAAAATAGCGAGTACGTTCTTAGGCAAGGCCTGCATTTTTGGCGGGTTCTATCAGTTTTTTCGCGCGTAATTTGTCTAAGTACGATTTCACCTAAACGTGCGAGAAATTACAAAACTCTATTCAGGAATTTGTCGCCAGTTCGCTTTTCCGATGTTCTTACAGTCAATGCAGTCCGCACTGTTCAGCAAGATAGACAAAAACCACTTTGCCGCGAATTCTCGTGATGGTGCGATGATATTATCGTTGCGATGTTAATCTCACATTAACTCTACATCGTATTTTCTCAGATTCTCACGACTCAGACAGTCTTCTGGGGCCCCATACAACTTTCTTAGATGACGACTGTTTAAATCATGTGCCTCTGACGGACTTTTTTACGAGCGCTACGAACTCTACTGAAACGATGACTGACCAATCTCAAGCTATAGGATTGACTGACGCACTGGGTGATTTTGACGCCCCGTTGTTGGATGCTGCGTTTGACTTTAGTTTGGATACGGATTTGCCACCCATACTTGAGCCTTATGGCGATGGTACTTTGGCCGTGAGCCCTCTTTCGCTATCACAGCAACCGAATAGTAGCTATCAAATGTGCGTGCCGACGAAATCGCATACAGACACGACACAACAAATAATCAGCAGTATAGGAAAGAATGGCATTGACGAAAACGTAGCGCCCTCTGCCGGCTTGAAACGACCAAGAACGAGGGGATCTTCGTGGCTAGAACAGGAGAAAAATATTTTTTTTGCGATGTTTAAAGTTAAGTGGCTACCCGCATTCGAAGGCAAGTCAATGCCTTCGTTATGTACACTCCTATTGCAGCGTTTTGATGCTATTAGTACTAAGATTCGGACCAAGAGTGTGATGGAGGTGCGTAATTTCTACACGTCAGTAATGCAAAATGTCATGAAGCTGTTGAAGAATGTCGAGCACGACATTGATCTATCAAATCCGGATCAAGTTCGCATCGCTGTCTGGTGCTGGGGCAAATTGATGACCGACAAGACGAACGTAAAAGAGTGAGTATTTCTTTATCTGCTCAGTGTCTCTTCGTAGCAAAATTGACGTTTTTTTCACTTATGCACTTGAACCATAAGATTCGAGTCACATGGCTCAGAATCTTCAACAGAGAAGACAAACTTAGCCAATCTACTTCTTCAGTCGATTATTCGTAGTCGCCGCCAGATGCTGAAGGCAAAGTCTGAATCAAAATATACGCCTGCAACTGGTTCAACTTCAATCTCTGCGTGGGTGGCAAGATCGAACCTCAGTCTTTCTTTTGCCAGGTCAAGCATTTTCAATCAGGAATTACAGGTTCATCACCCTATGGTGCGTAAGAAATCGAAGCAAAAATTAGATTCCCTCGCAGTGACCGAAAATGGAAAAGAGGTATTGTCGGTTGTCCAACAGTTCGGCCGCGATTTACCAGAAAAAAAAGTCACTTTGAAGCGTAAGCGCACCGCAGTTGGCGAATGTTTCTCTTTTGCAAAAAAAACCTGCTGTGTTTCAAGCCCTCTTTTCAAGAAGGATTTGAGTCAATCTCGCAAGGAGAAAGGTGTTGCATTTCGTACAACACAGCTGCCCCGAAAGAAATTTTACATCAAAATGCGAATGATCCCGCGAGACAAGCAAACGAAGGCAGACGTGATGTTTTGTGGTGGCCGGCCGAAGGTGGAGCTTAAGCTATCATCAACGAAAAAAATTTCACAGATTACAGCACATATGAGCAATAAGTGGGCGAAAGTTCAGTCGTTGGTACCTAAGGGGTCCGTTTTGTGTTTCTACAAGAAAAACGGGCTTGAAAAGTGGTCAATGGACGACTCAAATGTGACGTGCTTTGACGTCTGGAAGCTCTGCGGCAAGCAAAGTAACGGTGAAAATGTAGTTGAGGTGTCTTACATGTGGCAACTTCCCTCAACGAAATGTGAAGATGATAAAAATCAGCGATTGATGCCGCTTCAAGCGCCACCTGGATTATTTGATAAATTGCCACCTCCGGCCAACACAGACTTTAATAGCGTTATTGAAAGGAGGATCGCAAAATTGTCAACCGCCTGCGGTCTAGAGGAACAAAGCGAGCAAGTTGTGTTTGATCCAAGTATTCCTGAACAAAATGAGAAGGAAGAAGCAGCGCTCGAGGCAATGATAAGTGATTGCGCTGACAAAGATAATAGGAAAAATTACAGCCCTATCACAGGATGTCTGCGTCGGCGTATTAAGCCAGAATTAGTCTTAAAGGAAGAGTTCAATATCTAAGTCTATGTGGATTTCAAAACATCACCCCATTTTTCAGGCAGAGATTGTCACCTATCTATGGGACTACTCTTTTGGTTGAGCTAGTAGGAGACGAAAATAAAAACCACTTTCTAACGACATGACTCTCAAATTTGCGAGGTCATTTACACAGTGAAGCCCAGTCTCAAAGTTCCACTCAAATGCTCGCCCATTAGCTGCGAACAATTTCCACATTGAAATATGTTGAGGCTCTATTACAGAATATTAGCAATTGATGTCTTACCCGTGACAAATGAAGATTTATCCACGCCTTGACCAATGTAAACGATGTCCTTCGTGCGCACAACTTGCTCGTTGGTGATCTGCAGTGGGTTTGGGTGCATTTTCGAGGCAACGTAAGCAGATTCATTCTTCTTCTGACGACCCGCCGGCGTGCGGCCAACAAGCCAAATCTTATCGTCAGCTTCAACGAAAAAATGAGTCAAAGCAGCATTAGAGTCTATCACAACAAAAAACTATATCACCAGTGATAAAAGTTGAATGGAATTGGCTGCTTTGAAGAAGATTCACGGCTTCACTTGTCCGAACGAGCCGCGGGGTGATCTGGTCACCGTTTGACTCAATTTTTCCCTTCGGATTCAGCAACTTGCCCCATAAGTACAACTCGCCGTCCTCTATCATACAAGTATCAAAGTTAACTATCTAATAAAAAAATCTAGCATTCAAAATTTTTGCAGCACCTGATACAGCGCACGAGTGGTTAAAACCGGCACTCACTTTGGTAATTTTCTTGCCCCTGAGCGCGATTAGTTCTTGTGGCGCGTCTGCATTGCCTGTGCCGAAGCCGAGCTGACCGCGTTCACCCTTTCCCCAGCAAAAAACGGTGCCATTTCGTGTCACAGCAAGCCCATGCTGATAACCTGCAGCAATATCGATGACTTCATCGCCGTCAATATTCACGTGCGTTGGCAGCGGAACACTGATGCCTTCCTCGCCAATACCACACTGGCCATAGCTGTTAGCCCCTAATGTAAAAAGCTTGCCACTTTCTGTCAGAAGAAATGTCAGCGCCGTAGAACACACAATTTTCTTGACACGCTCTCCATCAGGCAATTCTAGTAAGGCTGGTTCCATCGTGTCCACCCCACGCGCCCGAGTAAAGCTATTTATCCACCACACGAGCTTTGGTAGCACTCGCTGCATGTTTGTGGTACGAATCACGTCCCGAAACGAGTGGGTTCGACCATAAATATAAGCGTCACCATCACTAGTTACAAACCCGGCATGTGCCCAGCCAACTGAGATTTCCTTCACGGATAGCTCTGTAGTGGTTGGAAGCGGCGTGGGAGTGAGAACGTTCTCGTAACCACCTGTACCCAGAGCACCTAAGAATCCATCCCCGTATGACATTAAAATAGCTATAAAATAATTGGAAGCGATTAGATGGTAGAGCGAAGGATGAAGCAATCAATGATGTAACTTACGACCACGGGTGGAGTTCGCGGATTTGGTTGACACTACGCGCGATTGCAAAGGAAACATCATCATTGATCAGAATAACATCCATCCGATGAAAGTGTGAGTATTTTTTATACGAGTAGCGGCAACGAGAGCTGGCCGAGTTCCAGTAACAAGGGAGCGCAGCATTATCATGATTACAAGTCAATTACGTCAATACATTTAATTTAAATTTGACCAATTACAAGTGTTAGGTGATCACAAAGATACCCCACCCTTCTCCAAAAAGTGAAAAAAGACACCCGCCTTTGTATGGTTTGCGGCAGCCTTTGACGCGAAAGCTCTACAATCCCACTAGACAAAATTTTGACCAGTCTAGCTTCCAAGCTACAATGCAACTTTTGGCTTCAATTTTGGACTTCGAGATACAATCACTTTCTGTTGTGGTGATGGGAATCGTATAAGCGTCATTTTGACTACACGCTGTGCCACTGCACTCGAGCGCTTGCCCACAAAAGCAGCGCGGCCTATGGACCACATATCAGCACGAATAAAGGAACGCCGCTGGTCAAGTAGTAGCGCGCGATTATTTTTACCGTGTACCTGGCAAAGAGGAAGCTTTACTAAAAAGTGCCTACGGTTGCAAGCGTACAGAAGCCAGGGTCTTACGTTTCATCCAGGGACAAACTGAGAGTCATCGTCATAACAGCCTTGTTAATTTAGACCACAAATATCAAAAGTGAATACAATTGAGACTCCCGCCATAAATATACGCTTTACGATCGGTCACATCAAAACTGTCTGTGTTATATAACGCGCGGCTTGCAGCTCATGATTAACACAGATTTTCTCCTTGGCGGAGTTCCATCCTCTTCATCATACCGATACCTCGGTGATTATATATGTTAACACTGACACAAAGTGTAATAAGAATTTCCTACTTATATTTAATTCAATGCAGTTGTGCCTCAAGTGTAAGGTGTAAGTGTTAAGATTAAGGTTTATGAGCCCTAGTGCGGCTCACGTTACCTGGCCTCCTTCCAATTAATGTGAGCCACACTAGAGCTCATGAACCAGCTATCTTTCCGGGACACTGCGCATGAGCACACAAGCACTACGTTTGGAGTCAAAATCTCCTCTCTTTATCATGCCTGCTTCTTGGCGAAAATATGTACTGAGAGTCTTCTCGCGTGCATGTGAAGAGATGAGGTTTTCGAACTAACGCACCAAGCTAATATCAGTATGACTACCGAAGTAATCTCCTCTGAATTTATATGCAGTGAATCTTCGAGACCTTATTAGACCTCCACCCACACCTGACGACACACGGTCTAGTCATTCACTGAAGTGATGGTGATCAGTCTGTTCTAGATCTCCGATTCATGAGATCCATAATTAATGTCCTACAAATGGTGGGAAGTTTACAACAACCCCCCGTGGAGCGCACAACGGTATCCAGCTCGTCACCATCGATCTGGGACTGGCTAAAGGTGTAACGGGGTTACACGTACCCTTGTATGAAAAAAAGGGTCGCACAAGATGGTGTGACCGTACTTGGGTGTGGATTCACAAGTCCGTGTAATCACACAGTGGTGTGGCTACACCGTAGCAAGAAACCACTACATGGCAGAATTGCCAGCAGTAACGCATACTAATTAGGGTTTAGATATTGGCAGCTCTGCCGCAACTAAAAAATTTAAATACAGTTTCAATTTAAAAAAAGAGCGTCTTTACCGAAATAAAGGTTTCAAGTACTTGGAGGTAGCGGATTGCGATCCGCTGCACTCGTATTGGTTCTTGTAAAGAAAGTAAGGTCGATGACCTTAGCTTATCTTCCTCTAAGCAAAGAGCTACGGCAGCCCCGCAGCACTTAGTAGCACTTGTTGTCAATCTACGTTTGGGGCGTTACGTCTAATCCTCTGTGAGGATGGAGCGATTATCATATTTAGTCTAGGGCATACAGGACGGGCTTAGAAAACTGATGTCTCTGCTTGGCCCTGAAGGCGTGCAACACTTTGCTTCGCAACGACCTGAAGCGATAAGCGCGCGTCTACAGGGGTTTTTAAATTACGAAAAGGCACTGCTAGAGCTCTTACAGCAGCAGCTGTCAGCGTCGACATCGTCTATGACGCCGCCGTCGACAACGGATGACTCCTCCCGGCCCATGCTGCTCTTGGTGAGCATTAGGACCCTCGAGGGTAAGGATAGAGATAATCTTCTGCACTGGGTAAGAGAGGGTGATGGCTATGGCATCTGTAATGATCCAGAACGAGCAACAGCGCGTGGCGCTACCTATCTCCAAGCTCGGTGACCGAGCGCGATAATGGGCACTAACATGCGGTGGGTTGAAACTGCGTACCTCTCCTGGAAGGAGCTGAAGCGGCAGCTATTGCGAGTGCCCTCGCCGCCTCACCAGGCATATCGCGTACGATCGCGTTTCCTTGCCATCGGACAAGGCAAGAAGAAGATGGTGGACTTTGTCTAAGAGAACTCTCATTGCTGGGATGGCAGCTTGTTCTCTCCCCGATGCGGTGTCTCTATGGAGAGCCTATGCGCTGGCGTAGCCAGAATGAAAGTCGTCCATGTGCATACGTGTAACGGGGTTAAACATACCCTGGTAACAGGGGGGTGTGTCACACCAGACGGAAATGGTGTGACCACACCCACACAAGAGTACGGTACGGAACTGGATAGCCAGTAGTTATACATGTATTTTTTACTATACATATTTAGGAAACTCTATGCATTTAAAATTAGGCGACTTTGCCGCAGATAAAATAAGTGAAGTCAGTTCGATTTTAGCGAATGGTTAATTAGCATTGGGTTGAGGTTGTGATTACTCTTGGAGTAAGCGGATTGCGATCCGCTAAACTCGTACTTGTTCTAAGTATAGAACGAAAGGTCGGTGACCTAAGTTACGCTTCCTCTTAGCGCAAAGCTACGGCAGCCCCTCTGCACTTGGTAGCACTTGTAGTCGATCTACACCTGAGTCGTTACGACTGATCCTCGGTGAGGATGGAAGAATTTCCCCCTCTGCCCCAGGGCATGCAGGACAGGATTGAAAAGCTGATGTCCTTGTTTGGCCCTGAGGGCGTGCAATACCTTGCTGCGCAAGGCCCCAAGTTAATCAGTGCGCGGCTAGAGGCGTTATCAAATTGCTAAAACGCGCTGCTAGAGCACCTACAGCAGAAGCGGTCTGCATCATTTGCGTGTGTGACACCACCGTCAGTGACGGATGATTTTCCCCGCACTAAGCCGCTCATGGTGAGCGTTAAGGTCTTCGAGCGGAAGGATGGAGAGGACTGGATGAGGCAGGTCAAGATGGCCATCGCATCCGCCATGCTCCAGACCGAGCAACAGCGCGTGGCGATAGCCATCTCAAAGCTCGGTGGTTGAGCGCGAGAGGAAGGTGTCTTGGAGGACACCAAGAGAGTGCTGCATGCACGAAGTGGATCGTCGATCCTACGGAAACCCTTGGGTCCGTACTATTCTTTGGTGAAGGAATTTCAAGACGTCGTCTCCAAGACCGCCTTCAGTCCTACCTCCGGACCGAGGTGTGCGTCATGAGATCAACCTGGTTCCGTGACACATCAATGGCCCCTGCCCAAGGAGCAATTGCGACGTCATTGACGCCTTCTTCCGTACAAAACACGACGCAGGGATGATACGTGTGAGCAAGTCTCCCCGTTCGACACCCACGTTTTGTGTTTGGAAGCCGAACGGCAAGTGGCGTGTCATTCATGCTTACAATAAGCTCAACGCTACCACCATTCCGGGACAGACGCCGATTCCTTGGAAGGATGCTCTTCAGAACAATATGGTTGGCTGTACAAATTACCGCGCACTCGACTTGGTCGATGGTTATTACCAATCGCTCATGCGAGTTAGTGATATTTCTGTGACAGCAGCGAGTACTCCGACTTCATTCAAAGTGACCCGACCGACGATCATTTTGTCATCACAGTCTCGATGGTCAGTTTCGAACCTATATGCTGCGCTATGAACAATTCAATTCATTCATCCACCGGAATTCCGCCATCTTAATCGATGGCTTGCGACTCCCGCAAGTACTGCTCTGTGCAATGAGTGGTGTCTCTGATGTAAGTGGAGAAGGATCTCGGCAGATCGTTGTCGCTCAAATTGGCACAAGCGATGAAGCGAATGTGAAACGCAAGTACTAGGATGCCTTGGACGCCTTCATCATGAGTCATGTGAATTTGATGACACGGGTGTGAGATGCAATGACATATCTGCAAGATCTGAAAAGGAATGCGCAGATCGAAGAGGCCGTCAGGGCAAAATGCATTATATTTTTGGGGTAATGTTCTGCTAAAAATCTATCAAACGATGCAGCTCCAAGCTTAAGAGGCTCGAAGCTATTATCTTGCTTCATCGGTCTATTCCAAGATGTGTTTTTCCTTGGAAATGCTTACATTATCGACCTGCCAAGCTGGCCAAAGACACATTCAACCTTCTGCGTAGGGCACCTCAAGCCTTATCATTGCAACAACGCGACGACGCGATTTTCAACCGGGATGTAATGCAGGCTTGCTCGAATAAAGCTTCAGAACCACAGCTTTGACACACGGGTAAGAAGTCGAACCTCTTGGCGTCGTGAACTTCGGGACCAACCAAACGATCGCAAGTGTCAGAACGTCGACGAGATGAAAATGGCTGCTGATCGCATTGGCGATTAATACGGGAGGCATATCCACCCAAACCAGAGCGAGGTCGCTTGGCAGGAGGCTCCACAACATCAGCGACCGCAGCCGCAGCAGGAACTTATAGAGCCTGCTTCGATCGCCGGATCTGATTCTCGATTAAATCCGCTGGCAAGTTTCCATGACGCCATGCAAGATCGCAAACTTCGCAGACGACCCGACGAGTATCCTTCACGCGTTGCCGTGTCCTCGACAAGCGATCGAACACCTCGATCATCTGCCGGTTCGCCGCGGAAAAAAGTTTCTTCAGCTACGTTAACCGCGATACCAAACAAAAAGAGGAAGCAGATGGGGCGCCCTCTTCAGGCACCCCCCCCCTCTTCTTGGTCGACGGGAAAATCGATACTACGTAGTGGCGGAGACGAATGTCCGCGGGCGGATGAAGCTCTCGGTAACATGGCTGATTTATCCAGAAAACGAGGATACGTGGAAGCCTGGTAATCGTCTTCTTTGCGACTGTCGCGATATCGCTCT